AAGAGAACTAAAGGCGTACTTGTCTTCGCCTCACTACTCGCCAAAGCAGAACCAGGCGAACGTCTCAGAGGTCGTGTAAGCGCAGTATTGGTCTGTGAAGATAAAGGTATGCAATCTCCAATATATTATATTAGCAAAACTCTGGTTGGCGCCGAAATGAGTTACCCTGACCTTGAAAAATTGTCCTTGGCGTTGGTTGTAGCTTCGCAAAAGCTTAGACCCTCTTTTCAATGCCACGCCATATCGATGGTAACGGTCTTTCCCCTATGAAGCATCCTGCATAAACCTGAACTATCGGGGAGATTAGCCAATTGGGCCATAGAATTAAGCGAGCATGATATAACATATCAGCTGTGAACAGCGATAAAATTGCAGGTTCTCGCCAACTTTGTTGCTGATTTCATGGCCAAAATAATGACTGAGGTCGAGCAAGAAACTTCTCGCACCTTGCCCAGTCTACCCGACCAATGGGTCCTATACACCGACAGCGCATCCAACGCGTCAAGATCTAGATTAGGACTCGTACTCGAGGACCCAACAAGCAAAGTCATCCGCAAATCCATACGGTGCCCTGATATGACTAACAATGAGTACGAGTATGAGGCCTTAATTGCATGATTAAAGCTAGCTCTCAAATACGGAGCGCGAAGAGTCATCCTTAGATGCGACTCGCAACTCATTGTCAACCAAGTCATAGGGACTTTCCAAATCAAATAGCAGAGGCTACAAAGGTACCAGGCAGAAGTTCATAAACTGCTACCAGAATTCGATGAATGTTGACTCGATCAGATACCTCGAGCACAAAACATCGAGGCAAACGGTCTCGCCAAGTTAGCAGCAGCCACCAAAAACATCGCAAAGGAAAACGTCGTCATCCTCCTCCACTCGTCAATAGACCAACTTGAGGTACACTCTGTAAATTTGACTTGGGACTGGCGCAACCGTATTATAACATATTTGTAGGAGGGAGTACTACCAGCAGACAAAAAGGAAGCCAAAATGCTTCGAATGCAAGCGGCCAGGTACAACATCATAAATCACAACCTATACAAAAGAACGTTTGGAGGCCCCTTAGCAAAATACCTAGGACCAAATCAAACAAGACACGTGCTCGAGCAAGTACACGAAGGCCACTGCGGTGCCTATACCGGCAATCGGGCCCTCGTTATTGCCTCATTCGAGCAGGTTATTATTGGCCTACAATGAAGAAAGAAGTCGCCGATCACGTCAAGAAGTGCGAACAGTACCAAAAATATGCTCCTATGATAGACCAAGCGGGCGAACAACTCCACTCTATTACATTGCCATGGCCGTTCATCAAATGGGGAATGGACATCATCGGACCCCTCCCAGCAGTGCAAGGTAATGTACGCTTTCTTTTGGTTTTAACTAACTATTTTTTCCAAATGGGTAGAAGCAGGTGTGTTCTCCCAAATATGCGAACAAAAAGTTATCATATCATATGGAGAAACGTCATATGCCATTTCGGCATCCCCAAAGAAATCAGCTGTGAGAACGGACCCCAATTTACCGAGAAGAAGACCGCTGAATTCTTCGAAAGATAGCACATCAAACAAATACGCTCCACGCCATATCATCCTACCGGTAATGGCCAGGCCGAATCCTCCAACAAAACAATACTGAATATCTTGAAGAAAAAGTTTGAGGATGCCAAGGGACTATGGCTGGAATTACTACTAGAAGTACTGTGGGCATACCGCACCATGCCAAAAACAAGCACAGGAGAAACGCCATATTCACTCGTATACGGGACTGACGCCATGATACCAGTCGAGGTCGGGGAACCCACCTTGAGATACTCCAATGAAAGCGGACCAACAATGATGAGAATAAGAAACAAGACCTCGACAAAGCAGAGGAGCGAAGAGATATGGCCTACATAAGAATCGTATCCCAAAAACAACAAGCAGAACGGTACTACAGCAAAAAAGCCAAAGTACGACCACTCAAAGCTGGAGACTATGTACTCAAGGCCAGAACACAGGCAAGCAAATATTCAAGAGAAGGCAAGCTAGGAACCAATATAGACAGGCCATACAAAATCACAACAGCAGCAAACAAAGGATGATTCTAAATAGAAACAATGGAGGGAAAGCTACTACAAAATAATTGGAACGTCGCCCACCTTGAATACTTTAACTTTTGAAAATGGACGCCCTCCAAGTTGTACTCTTTTTCCCTCACCCGGGTTTTATCCCAATTGGGTTTTCTCAGGTTGGTTTTTAATGAGGCAACGAAGGGGACGTCTCGAAGTTCAAGTATAATTCATCGCCCAGCCTACCGACTACTTCTCCAGGCCGAATGAGAAGGGACTAGGTACACAGGAACTTCTCCAATATATGTATGAAACAAATAGAAACATGTAATATTCTCCAATGAATGAAATAAAGCAGTATCTTTACTCTCCACCAAGTCTTTTTACACTTTACATTCGACCTCACTCGAATTATTCGACATTCGACTTGCTCGAATTATTCAACATTCGACTTGCTCGAATTACTTTACATTTGACCTCGCTCGAATTATTCGACATTCTACTTGCTCGAATTACTTTACATTCGACCTCGCTCAAATTATTTGACTTGCTCGAATTATTCAACATTTTACTTGCTCGAATTACTTAACATTCGACCTCGCTTGAATTATTCGACATTCGACTTGCTCAAATTACTTTACATTCGATCTCGCTCGAATTATTTGACATTCGACTTACTCGAATTACTGCACTTTCGACCTCGCTCGAATTACCTTACATTCGACCTCGCTCGAATTATTCAACATTCGACTCGCTCGAATTACTACACATTCGACCTCGCTCGAATTACCTTACATTTGACCTCGCTCAAATTATACGACATTCGACTTGCTCGAATTACGTTACATTCAACCTCGCTCGAATTATTCGACATTCGACTCGCTCGAATTACTGTAAATTCGACTTGCTTGAATTACTTTACATTCGACCTCGCTTGAATTATTCAACATTCGACTTGCTCAAATTACTGCACATTCGACCTCGCTCAAGTTACCTTACATTCGTCCTCACTCGAATTACCTTACATTCGACCTCGCTCGAATTATTCGACATTCAACATTGCTGGAATTACTGCACATTCGACCTCGCTCCAATTACCTTACATTATCTCATGTAGAGCCAAATCATTCTCTTTCACAACCGTGGTATAAATTGTGATGTGCTCCTGCATGTCCGAAGTCCCATCGTATTTTATTATGTCCGGCATCTTAAACCTCTTTGGAATTAAATCCAGTGTTGCCTTGATTTAAATGGCAACTGAGTATATTTATTGAAAACTGGTGGTGCACTCGAAATCTGATCCATTCGGGCATGAATCTCCTCAACATTTTGATACATCCCTTCGTTCATTTCCCTCATGAATCTCATGTGCTCTTTTTGAAGGGATTATTGCCATTATTGTTACCAGATCCACTACCAGTCCCCCCCCCCCCCTCTCCAGCATCGTCGAAGTTGACCTCACCATTTGGGGTATTCTTATCAACTCTTTGAGCCGTTTGATTTGCAGGAACACTAGGAGGAACCAGAACCCTACCATTTGCATTGTTGGAAGCGCCTAACAACACCTACTTTAAATATGTCATGACCTAATCCTTCCTTGAGAGGTGGCCCATGATGGCTTTCTATTGCTCTCTTAGGTTCCTTACTATTTCCACAACGTGTTCATCTTCTACGTCATCAGGAGTTGGTTCCCATACATGTCGGGGGTACTGTCCTCCACAGATCGGGGTTGCCTCATCTCCCTCGTTGCGAGTATCACTGATTGAATCCTCATGTTGAGGTAGATTTTCATGCCCCTTAAGGTTCTGTAAGATTTTGACATCGTTAGCTGCCATTTTTTATTTTTTGCTAAGGAAAAAAGAATCAAACAACTCAGTAATAAACGCAAGGGTCAACTCAATTACGCAACGGTCTAAGCCCATGGTGAGCGCCAAATTGTTTACCTGTAAAACTGTACAGTTGAATTTGTTACATGATTTATAGACAAGCGAACTGATTTGATCCAAAAATGATAAATAAACAAGATTAAAAATACGACTTAGTGGTTAAAATCAAAGGAAATGATAAGCTTGGCTCTGAAAGCAACGCCTCCGAGGACAGAAATAAGAACAATGTAAAAGAGCGAATCAAGTTATCTTATTAAGCTTGAGAATGAAATATAGAATAAGCTTTGCCAAGAAATTCATGAGTTACAATGGCTGTTCAGCCTACTATTTATAGCTAACCTAAGGAAACAAGATTGTAGGATCAAACCCCTCTTAAATGACAATAAAAGGGTCATTGATGAATATACAACAGCAGGTCGTGAATGCAAATATTCTCTGCAATGGCTGCCCATTTAATGCCAATGAATATTCTTAATTTAATATTATCTGATAGCAAATATTTGATCTGCTCACGTTGATCATGCTCTCTTCAGGGTCTATCCGATGCCAACTTCAGTTGTTGTTTCCAATGCAGGTAGTTAGTTTTACTTTCTAGTTGTCTTCGGTTTCATGTGTCACATTACTATTCGATCCTTTAATATAAATCAATTTTACCCTATACAGGTCGCAAGGTTGAAACTTAAAGGATTGACCGAAAGGAACCACCAAGAGCACGCAAAGCTTACTAGGTCTAGTCATAGTAAGGAATGCCACAACGAGAGGGTGAGACTGTATACGCCTTAAAACAAGTATGATATTACACCTTAGAATTTTAGTGGTTAGGATTTCTTCTTTTATTGAGTTTGTTATCTTTTTGTTAACTCAAACATATTTTAGTAATATTTATATGATTTTCTAAAATATTATACTCACTAATAAGTATTACATACACAGCGCGCATATCAAGACACCAGTAATATAAAATTCACTGCACTATTGTGTATATAATTAATTTATATCTCCTCTCTTCAGAGTCATCAATCTTGTTACACAACACATTCCCTTTAAATATTTCCAACAATTGCGAATGACCATTAGTCAACCTCTCCAACAAATCCAAATAAAACTCATGTCCCCTCCCAATTATTCTTCATGGTTACTTAGGGTGAAGCTTTCATTCTGAAATCAAAAATTCAGAATGGAAGCTTTTAGAGTTTCTTCAAACCCATCCTACGAAATGCTGCCAACCTCAATCCAAACTTCACCCCCTTCAGAATCAAGAAACTCTTCAGATTTCGACAGAGAATTAGAGAACCTAAATGCTGCTCAAAAAATTGGATCTTTGTTCTTTGGTTTCGGGGTAATGATCATTCTTTTGATTGGAATTTTCGCAATCATTGGTTTTGGTATGACAAGGTCAGCTAATTACATGAACAATCAAATCATAGAAAAACATGGTATTGATTTTGATTCCATGATCATATACAACTTACAAACCTCATCCAATTCCACAATAACTGCTGGATGCAATGTAACATTTAACGTGACAAACAAGAGAGATGTTGAATATTTCTATGACAAGGGGATGATATGGGTCTTTTTCGACGAGAAAGTTCTATGGACATTACCTACGAGAGAATTTTACCAAGCAGTTAGCGAAACGACATTGTTGAACGTATCAGCAGCCCCTGCGAAAATGGAGACAGACATATACGTGCCGCGAGCACTCGTTAGCAGCCAGAAATTGCATCAATCGGAGATGTTCAAGATTAGATTTGACATATTTTATCGTGGAGGAGTTGGACATAATGGGTTCAATTTGGGAGGATTGAAGTATTTTTGCGATGTTAATATGACTTTTCCTGATCAAAATACACTTGTGAGTGGACCAAAAAAATGTGTTGGGAGATTTGAGGATTTCTCTACTTGTTCTTCTTTATTCTTTTGTAGTCCATAAAATCGTACATTCTTGATCATTTTACCTTTTGACAGTTAGCTAGTATATCTTTCTCAATGTGTTGTTATCGTTTTTGGTTATTGATAGCGGTAGCAATGGATCTGTACCTTTTTACGTCCATTGTCGTTTGCATTAGAAAACCTTTTGGTTGTCTTGTGTGTTCGTTCCTATTTTATTTCGTTTTTTTTTTTTTTTTTTTTTTTTTTTTTTTTTGCAAGTATGTCAATAGGGTTATTAAATAATATTAGATATTTTTTCTTCAAATGTGAGAAAAATGATTTTGTGTTAACGAATATATTTGGATATACATAAACAAAATAAGTGTTACCAAGATTTATTTTCTTGGCTGAAATGCTCTTCATTTTGTCGGAGTAGTTTATTTGTCTATTCCTTCTACGTTTTTGTTGGTACAACACGACCAACCAATTACCCTAAAGCTGTCTTTGGAAAATTGCGATCGTTAATGATAACGATCGTTAATGATAACATCGTTAAGTATTTCAAAAATCATTTATAGCAACTCAACAAGTTAGAAGATCAAGGCCATTGCTGAAAAAGAAAACAGTGTAAAACAACTAATATGGAAGGTTTAGCGACTATAAAGACAAAAAGTTATACCTTAAAATTGATAACGACAACCCGCCAATAATATTCGATGACTTATTAATAATTTATTCTATAAAAACGAAAAAAAATCAACTAAAATTGCTATTTTTTAATAAATAAAAATAATGGATATTCAAAATCTTTAAGGTTCTTAATTATTGTTATTTCTTTAATATTTCAATGAGTAAAATGGCATATATTTGAAGTCTTGTAAAATTGTATTCAGAATTTTCAAAAAGTATTTGCTTGAACTATTTTTGCAAGAAAAGAAAAAGTTGATTTTGTTGGAGATCTACTTAAAAATACAATGACACTTACTTTATTATGATATCAGAGCAGATTGAGAATTTGGGTTCGAATCTTACTACCACGTATTATCGAGAAAAATTACACGTTTGAGTCATCAAAAAGAAATAAGTATGCACATGAGGGGCATGTTGAAGATACAACTAAATAAATAAAAAATATGCTTTCTCTAACAGCTTAAGTTTTTACATAAGATGGTTACATATTTCAATCTCCGCTTTTAATTCCACTCTCCCAAGATTACTCGATCTAAGCATGGTGTGGTTTAACTGAATCTCAAGTATGCTCTTAATTCTATGTGTTTGGCTGGTTTGCCTATTGAGCCTACTTGTTTTAGCTTGTAGTTAATGATGTTAGATGGTGGAGTGCTTGTTTACACCTAAAAAGGAACAGTAGAATTTGTATATGTGGTTTACTCTGTTTTAAAAGGCAGAATTGGGACTCGCTCGGGGCTCGCCCCGGGGCGGAGCACTCGTAAAACGCCCCTGGGCTTATGTGCGGGGCTTAGTTCTGTGAGACTTACGCCTCAGCCATTGGGGCTTACGCCCCGGACACGCCCAACGCCCAGCGTACTGGGCTCGCCTAATAGAACTTTATACAATTGTATGTCACTAACCTTGTAAATCCTCAAATTTTCTTAATAAATCGTTGACTATTCAAAATTACTTTTTTTCTAATTATAAATCATTAAGTTGAGAGTAATTTATGTCATAATTAAAGTAAAAATTATTGCACGTTATCCACTAAGACTGCTATGATAATTAATTTTAAATAAATCTTTCATTTAAAAAGTATTTATTTATTAACTTTATATCTTTACTATATAATAGTTCATAATTTTTTTATAATTATTTTTCTAAACATTATTTTTTTTTATGTCTATGAGATACAATACTTATTAAAAATAGCTCAATATTAGCTAGTAACTATTTACAAATAATTAATTGTCATGGTATTGTATGGTGAATTATGTGTCACTTTATGAACTTGTTGAAACTTAAAAATGAACGATGCTTGAGAATCATATTTAAATTGTGAATTATGTTTTTATATAAACTCTCTATCAAATACAAAGCATATTAAATAAAAGAAGTATTTTAAGAAAAATATCAAATTATAATATCGAAATTCTTTCAAGATTCATTACTCCTTAAGAGATACATATAAGATTAAGTTTGTATCGAATACATTACTTTTAATGTTTGAGCTGTAACGACGTTGCAGCTAATTTACATATTATGATATATATCATACTTTTCGTATTATTCATAGTTGAATTATAATTATAAATAGATTATTTGTTATAATTTTGTGATTTTAATGTAATTTTTATAATTATTTTTTATTTTATACTATCTTAAAATTCTTGAAATTAGTAAAATTTAAAGATCCGTGGGACTTACGCTCCATGTCTCAGGGCTTACGCCTCGCCTCGTCAGAGGTAAAACGCCTCGCCTCACGCCCCCGCCTTTTAAAACATTGGTCGTTTATAGACACATAGATAAGTTGATCTGAGTAATAAATTAACGAAGAATAAAGGAATAAAATAAAGATAATTTAGGAAAGAACAAGTCTGAAATTCAGATTGATCCCCTAAGATCAAAAATAATTGTAAAGTTTCAATATTAGCCTTGTATAAAACTTATGAAAATGATGAAAGAGAGATAGCTTTTGTGATTCTAGTATTTCGTGTCCTAATAATGAGTACAAATATTACTATTTATAGTTAAATCAAATGAGATAAGATCTCAAAATCACGCCTTCTTAAAGATGAATAAAAACTCCTCTTGATGGCTGCATAAGGTTGGGAATAACTATTGTGATTTTCTGTGATGACTACTTCTCTAATGTTATTCTTTTCAACCGGTACTTTACTTTAAAATTCTCTTTTTCGATTCTTATATTTTCGAGTGAATAATGTCTTACCTCTGCTCAATAAACTCCCATACGCTTATCCATAAAAAATGCAATTGGTATTACGTCAATCTCACGGGACGAGACAAACTCAAAATGAAGGAAGCTTTCGCAGTTTGGCCTTAAGGTAAAACAAGAATTGAATTACAAATAATCATTGATCTATAAGCGCAAAGAAACTCGGAGATAGAGGTGGCAAATGGACGGGTTGAGTTGGATATTGTGAGTACATGATTTTTGTCCGACTAAAAATACTCCTATAAAAAAAAATAGGGTTTCTAAATTATTTTTAGTTTTATAGTAGGATTTTTGTAGGATTTTCTTAATTAATTGTTGGTATTTTTGTGCACATTTAATATCTTTAAAATCATGAAAAATACCACAAAAATGTCAAAAATTTCGTGCATTGCATTTTAGGTTTTGTGTTTATATTTTAGGAGTAAATTGTTAATCAACTGTTTTATTAAATAAAAATCACAAAAAAATACTGTTCATTTTTTACATTTTTAGTTTCTAGTTTTAAATTAGTAAGTTCCTCCATTAGTTTTAAAGTGAATTAATTGTTCAAATATCTGAAATAGTTAATTAGGTTTATTTCATAATTTAGATTTGATTTAGGATCTAATCTAGGTTTTTAAATTAATTAACTTAGGATTTAAAATAAAAAGAGAGAAGAAAATACAAAGAAGAGGAATTAAAGAAATGTGTTAAAACTGGGCCAAAGCTTAAAATGGCCCAAAAAAATTGCCCAAATCCGCCAAAATTTAGCCCAAACCCTTAGAGATCCGACCCAGTTCCTCTTAAATACCAAACAACGTCGTTTGGCTAGCATTTGATCTGAGCCGTTCAACTTCTTTAATCCTACGGCTAAGAACTGGCCTCTCCACCCCTTAAAACTGTCCGAACCCCACCCCTCCCAAAACCCTAAAGACCCCCTCATTCAGTCTCTCATCTCCCTCACTCTAACTAACCCTAACCGCCCCCAAACCCTTCACCGTCTCCGTCGTCCTCCGCCGCCCGAAAATCGCCTCGCGGCGGTGGACCACCTCCAATCCCACCCAAATTCACACCAGACAACCACCGTAATCTCCTCATCACATATCTACCATCTATTTCCCCTAATTTCCCTCGGGTAAAAAGGAGGTGTGACAGCTCTGGCGACTCTCCTGAGGAAAAGAACCCAGAACTTTTGGTTCAGGGTTCAGAATTCGAGCTTAGAATAACTATTATAGTTGGCTTTTATCTATTATCTGATTTTTATATGTTTGAGCCTAACGTGCCAAATGTCGTTTTTTACCGATTTGATATTGTTTTAACTGTAAATAAAAACTGTTACGAAACCATCTTCTCTCTGAGTCTTCTATATCTTCTGGGAGGAGTGCGCTTCGCGTGGCTTCTTTTCTTTTAAAGTCATATCCCAATTTTAGAACGAGGTTCGGACAAGTTGCAAAGCCGGTGAAACTTCTGTATTCCCGATGCGCTGCCCCCCCTCGGCTCGAGCTGTCCGCTCGGGTAAGCCAAGTCAAGAACAATACACCCAGGTTTTAAATTTAGAATAATGTAGCCTCATTCCGGATCCCTAGTAGGTACATTTGTTTGCATCACGTGCATTTGCCTTTGGGGACTCAACACAGGGGTTGGTTCCGTCTAGGACAGGTGTACCTAAATTAAAAAGACCATCCTAATGCATCTTACGTGCTACTTGCATATTTATTTGTTTCGGCATGCATGTTGACTGGCTTCTAGAATAGGGAAAGAAAATAAAATAAAAAAACAAGCGAAAAAAAAAAAATAAGAGTGAGGTAGGTATTTGAAAATCCTGAATCTCTGCAGAAATTCTGAAAAAAAAAAAGTCATTTTAAAATGAGCCAAAATTTTCAAGTGTCATGTTTCCCTTGTTCCGTCAAAACTGACCGAACTACGCGGGTCCGATTCTCAACGGATGTGAGATACGTAGGCAAACCTCATCAGTTTCAGCCCCCAATTTTTAAAAATCCAAAAATATTTTCCTTTAATTCCTTTTTTAGAAGCATTTCTTTAGAAAATTCAAAAAATAAAATGAAATATTTTTAAACTCAAAAAATAGTTTCCTTCTTTCTGAAATCTTTCATACAGAAATAAAAAGAAAAAAACAAATTCAAAAAATCAAAATCCAAAATACGGGTTTCCTTTATTTTGAAGTAGTTTTCCCAAAAATTAAAAAAAAATTAGAAAAACAAAGAATCCAAAAGATATATATATTCTTTTCCTTCTTTAAAAATCTATCTTTTGTAAATGTCATAAAAACTTTGAAAAATTGTAGTCCAAAAATATTTTCATTTTTCT